TGATTCTTGGTAATTAATCCTGGTTATATCAGTAGCTTGATTACTTTTTAAATGTTAGTATAAGATTAATCAATATGATAAGAGCCTTGCTGGTACAGTGGTCTAAGCACCCTGTTATTAACACAGCTGCCTGCAATTTACTGCTGGTTCGAATCTCTCCAAGGCTCAAGGTTGACTCAGCCTTCCATCCTTTCTAAGGTAGGTGAAATGAGGACCCAGTTTGTGGGGGCAATAAGCTGACTTTGTATAAATATACAAAAGTATGAAGGCTATTGCTTAACGCATTGTAAGCCGCCCTGAGTCTCTGGAGAAGGGCGGTATATAAATAAAATTTTAAAAAAATACAGTAAATAAATTTCACACTATAATAAGACTTCTACTGGATACTTTCATCATCGACATTATATATCAAGGTTATATATTAAATATTTTTTCACATCTGAACAACTATTCTACTAATGGGAAAATGAAATTAGTATCATTTTTAGATATCAGGTGATTTCTAAATAATCCCTGAGTCTATGGACAGAAATAAAGTTATACACAAATACCAAAATAAGAGAGGAAGGAATTATAAAGCTAATGAGAAGAATAGGGCAGAAATAAGTTTGATCTAGTACAGATGTATGATTTAGTCTACTTCTGGTTACTAAAGTAATAGTCATAGACTCAGTTATTCACATATATTGGATATATCCCAATTTGTTTAGTAAAGGAACTATCATGAACCAGATTCTATTCTGATGAAGAAGAAAACTGATGATCAAGAATCAGAAGCGGAAAAATCAAAAGAAACCAAATCTCCAAATGTGTGTTTCGCTGTAGGAAGATCAAACCTGACTTCAAAATTTGTAGGTGTCCTTTCCTATGAGAACTCTTCCTCTTCAAGGAAACAGCTACTTTTGCTAGTGAAACTCAACTAGAGAGAACAAAAATATTGTTTAGATCTCATCTTGGATATTTAAAATTGGAAAAAATGGAATATCAATTTTAACAATAAGTATAATCTGCAAATCATCAAGCACAAAGCACATAGTGTGCAGCCGCAGTACTGACTCTGAAATACTTCTTTAAATGCAATAATACATTTATTCTTAGTAACATTTAATGTAACGCTTTGGGCCTTCCATCCTGAATGAAGCCAGTTAGATTCACCCAATGACCTGTTTTTCCAGTTCTCATTAATTTTCCAGCCTTAATCCTGAGTTCAGTTAGGCAGTGCTGGACTGACTGTGCCTCAAAAGAATTCCTAATAATAATATGTAACACTTATATAACCTTTCATCATATAATCACATACATCTTTTACCAACCATGTAATGTGGCAGAAGTCAATGGAAAATCACTGTAGCCCTACATTTCTCCAGAAAATTGTTAGTGGCTGTGAGCAAATAGTAACATCAAAAGAATGCATAGTTTTGATTGTCACCATCCTCCTTTTAGGAGATGGCACTAAAAGAAGAATCACCATGTAAAGCATAGAGCTATCCTTCTGCATATATAGACACCTATTAGATCAGTGTTTCTCAACCTTGGTAGCTTGAAGATGGGTGGACTTCAACTCCCAAAATCCCCCAGCCAGCAGCGCTGTATTAGATCAATATTTGCTTCACGTAAATGCTATCCTAAATCTTGAATATCCTCTTCCCTACTATGTCACTGCTGATCTTGTAATGTTCAAAAGTTATCCAGATATGATAGCCTAATATGTCTCTAAGAATTCCCAGATGTTTGGTTTCAGGCTATACATCACACTGATGTTTCATACCAAAATAAACAATAAGTTATAATCCATGGTCAAAGAATAAAGGGTCCAATACTTCCCTGGTAAAGATGCTTTACTATTTGTCTATAGTTTTTTTATGTACAGGTGGTCCTCAACTTATGATCACAATTGAACCCAAAATTTCTGTTGCTAAGTGAGAGAGTTGTTAGAATTTTGCCCCATTTTGAACTTTCCTTGCGACAGTAAATCATTGCAGTTAAATTAGTAACACCTTTTTTAAGTGAATCTGGCTTCCTCATTGATTTGTTTGTCTCAAAGGGTCACAAAAGGTAATCATGTAATCCCAAGACACTGCAACTGCCATAAATGTATGGCAATTGCCAAGCAATTCTAATTTTTAACATGTGATCATGGAATGCTGCAAGGTTGTAACTGTGAAAAGAGGCCATAAATCCTTTTTTCATTTTGGTATGCTGTTGTAATTTGGAACAGTCACTAAATGAATGGCTGCAAATCAAGGACTACCTGTATAAGACAATTCAGCTCAGCCAGCTTTGTTTATCCAAGAAGAGCCTACCTAGTATACATATTCCACTAAATACAAAACATGAATCATCCTATTAAAATAAAAGAGATTTCTAGGTATATCATGTTCACACCTGCATAGATATGAATTTTGATTGGTTTTAATACCCCTATCTTCCCCCTACTAAACAAAGTTAAATAGATCTGATAGCTATCACTTGGGAACCTTGCTGAGATTTGAGAAATTTAATGTTATAGTCATGAGATAAGTAAGTAGATTATTTGCATACACAACTGGATTTATAAAAGGACTTTGCATAAAACAGCTTTTTTCTAGACCCAACAGAAATATTATCATTTAAGCTATGTCTAAATATGTGTGAAACTGTCTTGTTTTAGAAATAAAAAGGGTGCCTTGCAGTAGCATTTTAGAGACAAGACAGCTTTTATGAACAAAAACAAGAATGCCCTATTGTATGTACCACTTTGTGCTTGCTGCATTAAGGTCAACGAGTTTAAGACAAAATGCAAGTATAAAGTAGTAACCACAGGAGGGGGGAAACCCTGAACAATTAATTGGAGAAGAAACAAAATGGTTCTGGAGGGACATATTGTTTATATCAGCCAAAATAATTTTATTAAAATTAAGAAGGCTGCAATTGGGTATAGACATCATCAAAATTTGAGAGCTCCACTATCCTGATTTTATAGTTTTCCAAGCATTAAAGTAGCCACAAGTAGGAGATTCAGTGAAACATTTTTTTTAAATTAAAAACTTTATTATTTTATATTTTCATTACAATTCACAGTTTATACATGGTAAGACAACTTTTCTTACCATGTTGACATTCAGAACACTGTGCTGGGGGGGGGGGGGTGCAATGGTGGTGATGGGGCCTTTTTCTTTGAAGAGCTTGGCCTGATATATATTTAATGGAACTTTACTGATCTGAGATGTACACTCTTGTTAACTCTTCACCAATTGCTATTTACACCTATAACTTAGATTTGTTAGAAAAAGAAAATGAAGCATTCATAAATTTAACATTCATAGTTTATACTGCTATTAATAATAATCAAATGATACGGATATGTTATTTAATCCAATTGAAGTCCCATTTTGTATTAAATACTCAGAGCCAAGAGCGAAGGCCTCAAATAGCTCTGTCAGTGTAAGCTCCTGTGATTTCAGCGGAGTCTTGCACCTTAGTTATGCTTTGAGGATCAGGCTGCCTATTAATCTTTTAAGGGGTATTTATATACAGCCAGGTTGCAATAGAATAAAATGTTGAAAACAATTTAAAAGACAAGCCATTGCATTCCATTCCATTATTTTAAATTCTGCATTCCTTCTGAATCTCATACACACACTTAGAAACAGAAGACACAAGAAGCTATAAAATTAAGTTGTTTTCTTTTAAAACAATCAAAGAAAGTCTAAGGATTGGTTTCAGATCTGCGTTATTAGCCTATTATAACCAACCAAGAACCATCTAATTGTACTCTGTGCTATTGATCAACTATTTCCATGTCTGCATTTGTCTTCAGATACCATCTACTGTATATCCTTGGTGTTGAGAAGTCACAGTGATGCCAGTTTCAATTGCATTCCTACTTTTATTCCCAGCTGCTGAGGGCAAAAATGTAGGATGTAACATTCAAGGAAAGCAATCCAGCAGGCACGATCCCTGTGCTAAGTGAGTTTCTAACATGACACAGATAAAACAAACGGAGGGGTGGGGGGAATGAATGCTTTTCTGCCAGCAGCACTGCATTTACTAGTAGCTGACCTGCTGCTGATTCAGGATTGGTTTGAATTCTTTATATGCAAAAGAATCTATTGCACCAAGATGTATCTCTTGTCAAATTTAATAACACACAATTGAAGATTTTTGGTACATGGTGCATGAGTACGAAAGGTTGAGTAGAGTTTAAGTAATGAGACCTGACATGGATCCATAAATTCTACATATCAATTGAGTGTACATGTATTATCTGCACCTGAGTTTAAAAAAAAAAATTATAGGGGACACCTTTTGCAACCCTTATAATTGCAGTGCCTTTAAAGCTAGATTAGAAGTGGCGTTTTGATGTCCTTGATTTGGCATATTTCGTAACGCTGGTATCCTTGGCTTCAGACATCCTTAAAACATGGTTGGGGGAGGGCAAGAGGAAATATAAATATGAGATATTGTATTCATGCAAGAACCAACAAACTAACAAAAACCCATATGAAAGATATAGAGGTTCTGTTTCTTTAAAAGATAAGGCACTGACAAAAATTTCTTAGGTAAAAGGCTGCATAAGATTTTCTTGCCATTTACATATAGATTGTAGTCCATGTATGGTCCTTTCTTAGGCTTGGCATGGTAGACCCTGAAAAGTTTAAGGACTGATCTCTCAAAGCTACATTGTTAACCTAAACCAGCATTATTCATTCTTAACGCCTTATGGCGCAACAGGAGAGATGAAGAAAAACAAAAACAAAAACCAGTCTGGGCACCTATATATATATATATATATATAATATATATATATATATATATATATATTAAAAAAGGCATTGAACATTGCTTAGTCCAGCATTTGTCAATGACCAAAGTGCCATTCATCTTGTGTCTTTCAAGAAATATAATGATGACTCCATATTGTGGGTAGATTTCTGTTGGAACTCATGCATATGATTTTTAAAAAATGCTATTGGCATCGGTTATGGACAGAGGGAAAATAATCGGACCTACAAGGTAAGTCTAAACCATAGGCGGCTTCTTATTAAAAGATCAGGCTTCAAAGTCACTGCTACTTAATGTTCTCAATCACAGCAATTTCTTCCGCTGCACAGTGAGGAGTTAAGCCATTCATATAAATGCTATCTGTCTTTGTGATGGCAGGCAAGAGATCTTTCTCGCTGGTGAGGTGGTTGACAGACAAGGTTCTTTTGCAAGGAGTCAGGTCTTGGCTGTGATTCACTGCCATTTCTGCAGAGAGCTTTCTTTTGATGGAGGTAGCCCGCTGGAATTTGTCATAGATCTCAACGCTCAGGCGCCTCCGGGTTTCTTTGAACTCTGCGGTAACATTGGCTGTCCACTCGGCTGCATGAGCTCTGAACTCTCCCACCTAAGGAATCAGGTGGGAAGAAGGAAAGAGAGAGAGAGTTAGCATTGCGTTGCATTTTTTATTTTTAAAAAAGGTGTATGTGGATACAGTTGCAAAGAAAAAAAAATTGTGTTCAAAACCTGACGGCTACCCTTTCTAAGAGATCTTCTGGTCCTTGGCTATTTCCTTGGCTATTTAATTAATCTCTATTTTATTCCAATGCAAGGATTTAACCGCCTCCTTGCTCATCTAATAAAAAGGACACACAATGCAACATCTAAGATCTTTACCTCTAAAGCATTTCACATCTCTTTTTATAATGTTACATAGGCCATTGAGGTGAAATTGCTTTTAAAAATTAAGGCTTGACAGCTGAGACAATCCCAGCTGGACAGGAGAGCTGAATTCCCAGCAATCCAGAGTGCATGTTATGTGTTGTTACCAGGGGAGATGCCATGGTTATTTATGGATACCCTGGCTTATGCATGTAATAATTCCTGTGAGAGGCAACATAGTCCTTTCTATATTTAGATGGAGAAGGCTTTTAAAAGAAAAATGTCAGCTGTCGCAGTTCTATTTTTAGGGCCAGTTCCAACTGAGGATTAATGCAAGTGACAGTTTTAGTCAAGTCAGCAGAACAATTGCCAGCTTCTCCTTCCACTGCAGTATAATATTATAATGTGAGACTTACAATACGCTAGAATAAGATACTTCTTGACATTAACATTTCCGAATCTGATGCATATGGGCTCAGAGGATGGATATGATGATATGAGACAAATATTTCTTTAAATTCAGTGACATTATGGGATGATTTTCATTATGACATTAACTCGGAAGGAAGAATCAGCAGAATCTAAAATATCCTCTACCCCCAAAGAAGAATTGATTGTGAAACCTTCTAAACCCAAAACTCCTAGGTAATACCCAGTTTTCCCCATCTTGCCAAGATAGAATTGTCTACTCAGCTCAAACCAGTCCTGAATAACTCCCCATAAATGTTTTGTGTGACACATGTGGGTATTTTTGCACATACAGGTAGCCCTTGCTTACTGACTGCCTCATTTAGCGACCATGCAACATTACCAAAGTGTGAAAATACCAACTTGGTGACCAACTCTCATATTTATAATTGTCACATCTTGCAATCACATGATGGCCACTCACACACTTCACCACTCCAACAAGCAGAATTAATGGAGCACACAGAAATAAAATTGTAAGTCACAGTCACACAATGTCTCACTTAATGACTGCAGTGATTCCTTTAATGACCAAAGGGAAATGACATCACAAGCCTGTTGCAGCCATGTGATTAGCTACCAAGTTGACAAACCTGTGGTAATTAAACGAGGACTACTTGTATTCACATGTGCAAATGTACACACACTGCATCCAAACGTTATATGCTAAAGCATGCCAAAACCAGCACAAAATAACTATTCATTGAAAATAATAAGGTAAAATAAGGTAATCCTTTTATCAAACAGATCCTTCTTTATATATATGAACTGTTCCCTTGCCCACTGAAGTGGTACCTTTTTTATCTATTTATATTTGCATGCTTTCGAACTGCCCGGTAGGCAGGAGCTGGGACAGGTAATGAGAGCTCACCCCAATTGCATGGCGCTCAGGTCTCAAACTCAAACTGTCAGCTTTCTGGCTGACAAATTCAGTGCCTTTAATTGCTGAGCCAGTGTCCTCCTAACACTTACATATATACAGCACAAAGTCTCCAAACATCCTGGTGAGAAAAAGAGCAAGCAAGAGCTCATCCCATTCCAATATTTTCATCCTTCTTTGTCCCCAAATCAAAGCTCATCTATCATTGCAGAGTTATCATTAATTAGTTTAATGAAAAGAAGGGCTAGGAGTGATAGATAGCAGTGTTTCAATATCTAAAAGGCTGCCACAAAGAGGAGGGGGGTCAACCTGTTCTCCAAAACACCTGAAGGCAGGACATGAAACAATGGCTGGAAACTATTCAAGGAGACTTTCAACCTAGAACTAAGGAGAACTTTCCTTGTTGGAACAATTAATCAGTGGAACAACATGCCTCCAGCAGTTGTGGGTGCTCCAACATTGGAAGTTTTTAAGAAGAGATTGGACAATCATTTGTCTAAAATGCTATAGGGTTTCCTGGCTGATCAGGGGGTTGGACAAGAAGACCTCCAAGATCCCTTCCAACTCTGTTATTCTGTTAACTGTTACTGGAGTCATGAATGGACATAAATATAAATTAAACAAATAAATTATCCAAAATTCTGGAGGCCTATTTTCTTCAGTGAGGTGTTTTGATTCAATTACCAGGATTTCATATTAATATTTTCAACAAAACAAGGTACCTCTTCAAAGACACATACAGCCTAAATGTTTCCATCAGCTCCAATTTCCATGGCTTATTACATTCAGAAAAAAAAGTGATAGATTGTTATCTGAATTATTTCCAAGTGAATATTTTTTATAAAAATTAGAAACATTTATATAAATTAATGTAACCATAAAATATTCAATCATTGATAAGCAAATAGATACCAAATGTGCATAGTTTTTTTTTAAAATTAAGTGACATTAATTAAGAAGCATTTGTTACTAAAAGACTACCTCATTTGGTTCAAAAACCAAAACCAATGGAAAAGCATTATGGCCATATTGCTTTTCCATACTAAATCAAAATGATAGATACTGATTAATTCTAATTAATTATACTGCAAATTTTTACTGTAATTTTTATGCACATGAATTATTTTCAAAACTGTTTTTTTTAAAAAATCATATCCCATTTTATGGAGTGCCTCATTCAAAGAATATGATGAAAGACTCTCCTCCCCGTCTCCTTGCTGGCTATAATTTCTGGATTTTGTTGCCCAGTATTAAAAAGTACTTGTATTGGAGCTCTAGCCAGCTTTCAAAGGAAACTCAAAACTTTATTTGTTTGATTTATAAAACACTTTGTCCAAGTAAGTTTATCAAAATGATTAAGTGCATAGTAAAAATATGATAATTTATGAAGCAAAGATAAGCAACTCAATCATATAAGAAAAGTTAAAATTCTGTCCCTATCCCTATGGGTGGTATGTGTCTTTCTCAATCTTGGGTTCTCTGCTGGAGCCTGCCAGTTTGAGGGATCTGTGCAATATCTCAGCTGTTCCTAGTACTAAACTCTTCTGGACAGAGAGCTCTGAAGTTGTTCCTTGAATCTGCTGAAATCTCTCTCCCAAATTAGGAGTCATAATCCGAAATACTCCTACCACTACTAGAATCATTTTGGCCTTTACATTCCAGATCCTCTTTAGTTCCTCCTTCTCCAGTTTTTTATACTCCTTCCTGATAGTGCTGCCACTTGGCAGCTGTACATCTACCACCACTGGTGTCTTCTGACCCTTGTCTTCTTGTATCCTACCTTGATGGCTGCCTGATTGGCCAGTATCTGCCTGGAAATCTGTCTGGAAATCCCACAAGATCTTAGCTCTTTTATTCTCCACAGCCTTCTGTGGAATCCCTCACCTGAACCTGGGAGAGTGTAGTTTATAAACTGTGCAGATATTCTTGTACACAATGCCAATTACCTGGTTGTGCCTTTCAATGTATGTTGTTCCTACTGCATGTTACACCCTGCCACTACCTGTTGAACTGTCTCTGAGGCCTCTTTGCATAGTCTGCACCTTGGATCCTGTCTAGTGCAATCGACCCCAGCAAAATGGATCTGGTATATAGTGCCTGTTTTTGTGTTGCTATGATCTGTGCCTCAGGGCTGCCATTTAACCCAGCCATTTCCAGCCACTGGTATGATTTTCCAATGTTAGGCACCTCAGCTACTTGTAATGCTTTTCTATTTACAGAATACAGAATAACAGAGTTAGAAGGGAACTTGGAAGTCTTCTAGAGCATATGCACTAAGAAAAATTCCTTGTGTGTCCAATCGCACTTGGCCAATAAAAAATTCTATTCTATTCTAACCTCCTACACGAGCAGGAAATATTTCCACCATTTCAAACAAATGACTATCCAATTTCTTCTTAAAAACCTCCAGTGATGGCGTCTACATCTGACCAATTAGCTCTCTAGATATGCATGAACAATTAAACTCTTCCAAAAGTAGCATCCAAATTATGATAAACTAATTATGACAAATTGTTTTAGCACAATGGGTCTCTGTAGTCTTGGTAATATTAATTTAGAAATGAAATTCTCCATAACTCTTTTAACATTACCCTAGATGCATTTAAATAGAAACAATTCATAAACACTATATAAGTAATGTAGAATTAACGCAAAAAACAGTAAGATTGTTTCTGGAAGAGTGATTATGTATCAGATTGAGAATAGACCTATATATAGTAGTATCATTCTTTTGCTATATCAGAACACAGTTTATAATAATGATGATCCAGATAGATTCTCTGGACTCCTGATAATTCTGTGTCCTAAAATGCACTAAAAGGAAATGTTACATTTTCATAATGCAGCTCACTTTCCCATGGATTGCTAAAGACAGAAGCTCAAAAGGTTACAAATGGAGAACTATGTAATTTTCAGACTGCCAGAGCATATAAGCAACAAACTATTGTAATTTAATTCTTCTTCCTATTATAAAATCTTTAGTGCCTGTTCAGCCTTCTTTTGTCCTTGAGGTATGACATTTTCTCAAGCTACACTCAATTTTAATCTTAATTTGTAGCCTGGCAGTAACTCAGTAACTGATGCTACATGATTGAAATACCCGTCCTTTATGTAACTGAAATTGCAACTCCAATAGTGTGCTTCAGAACCCCCTTTGTGTGTGTGTGTGTGTTTGAATAGGAATAATATTGTTTGTGCCTGCACTTAACATACACATTAGTATTTCTGCATAATGAGTGCATTCCAGAATTGCATGAGAGGGAACTTTCTGCTCCTCTTCTCCCTCTTGTAGCTTTTATACTCTTAAAATGATTTGGCAGCTTAGAGAACCATCTGGAGCAAATTTTTAAAGTGTGCATGCAGAGGCAAACTGCCTCCTCTCAATTCAATTCATCAGC